TTTAATCCGAATGGCATTACGTTATAGCAGTATGTGCCATACTTAGTGATGAAGGAGGTTTTTTCCTGATATCTGGGTTCATCCGTACTTGGTTGTACCCGAAATAGGCATCGAGAAAACTGAGGATCTCGTGGCCGGCTGTGGCATTGATCATGCGATCAATTTTGGGTGAAGGGAAAAAGTCCTTGGGACACGCCTTATTCAAATCCTTATAGTCTACACACATTCTTAATTTGTTCCCCTTTTTAGGGACTACTACTAAGTTTTCTAACCAATCCGAGTATTTTACCTCCTGAATGGACACTATTTTAAGGAGTTTAGATGCCTAGTCCTTGATGAAAGCATGTTTGATTTCGGACTAGGGTCTCCTTTTCTACTTGACCAGGTGGAATTACGGATCCAGGCTCAGCCTGTGAGTGGTTATCTCCCTTGGGATCCCTGTCATATCGAGATGGGACCAAGCAAAACCATCCATGTTAGCCATAAGAAATCAAATGAGTTTTTTCCTAAGCTCGGGGGTTAACCTCGTGCCCAGGTATACCTTCCGGTCGGGCAGACGTTCGATCAATGTGACTTGTTCCAGCTCCTCGACCGTTGATTTGGTGGCGTCGGAATCGTTGGGGACTATAAAAGATCTAGGAACCCCGTAATCATCGTCTTCGTCAGTCCCTTGTTTATCCGATTGGGTCGTGGTCGATAATTGCTATTTAGCCTCTTGCTTTATATCCAAACTCAGTTCCTTTGATGTTTCTAGTGTTGATACCGGGATCACTTCTTCAACTGTAAACATTTCCTTTGCGGCCGGTATCTCCCTATAGATTGTTTTGATCCCTCCTAGCGTCGGGAATTTTAACACTTGGTGAAGAGTCGAGGGTACTGCCCTCATGTTGTGGATCCATGGCCTCCCGAACAGAGCGTTAGACCTTATGTCTCCTTCGATCACATAAAACTTGGTTTCCTGGATGGTCCCACCGGTATTCACCGGCAATGTTATCTCTCCCTTAGGGGTTTCCCATGCCATGTTGAATCCGTTTAGAACCCGGACCGCAGGCACGATTTGATCTTGCAGGCCGAGCCGTTCTACGACCCTCGATCGGATGATGTTGGCCGAGCTACCTGGATCAATTAACACACGCTTAACTCGAGATTCATTTATGAGTACAGATATTACCGGTGCATCATTGTGGGGTTGCACGATCCCTTCCGCGTCCTCATCGTTGAAAGATAAAGTTCCTTCTGGTATGTAGTCTCGAGTCCGTGTTTCCTTGTGATGGATACTTTGGTGCATTTTAGCATTGTCTCTTGAGGAACGTCGGCCTTAGCGATGATCATGTGAATGATGTGTTGAGGCTCCTCTTGCTCGATTTGTTTATTAGAATCCCTATTTCTGAAATAGTTCTTGGCTCGATCACTTAGGAATTCTCGAAGATGCCCGTTGTTGAATATCCGGGCCACTTCCTCTCTCAATTGTCGGCAATCCTCTGTTCTATAGCCGTGAGTGCCAGTATTTGCACATCCGGTTAGGATCCCTTTGGGCAGGATCAGATTGCAAGGGTCGGGGCCATTTTGTGTCCTTGATGCGCTCGATAGCTGATACAATGGCAACAGCGTTGACGCTAAAGTTATATTCCGATAACCTCGGTGCTTCCTTAGGTCAGGTAGGACTGTCGATACTGTTTTTGATCATGAGTCCACGGTTGCTCTGACCTCGGTCACTTCACCTTTCGCTTCGCGTAGAATTCCATCCGGATCCTTTGCTTCTCCGATCTCCATTATAAGGATGATAACCATCCCTGTTCGACCTTGGTTCACGGTCCATATCTCTCTTGACCCTATCAATGGGTCTAACAGGATAAACGGACCCGGAAGGAGCCCCTAGTTGATCATCTTCGACTCTGATTTTCGACTGATATCGATTATGCACATCATTCCAAGTAACACCCGGATACTCAATCAGATTTTGCTTCAACTGCTGTGAAGCCACCGAACTTCGAACGTTGAGTGCTTGGGTGAAAGCTTGAATGGCCCAATCATCGACGACCGGTGGTAGGTCCATTCGTTCCATTTGAAATCGGGACACGAACTCTCTGAGCATCTCATTATCCTTTTGCGTTACTTTGAAGAGGTTCGACTTCCTGGTCTCGACCTTGATTGCCCTAGCATGTGCTTTCACGAAAGAATCTGCAAGCATAGCAAATGAGTCAATTGAATTAGGAGGTAAGTTGTGATACCATATCATGGCTCCCTCGACAGGGTCTCTCCGAATTTCTTCCGCAAGACAGACTCGATCTCATCATCCTCCAAGTCATTTCCTTTGATGGCGCATGTGTATGAAGTGACATTCTCATTTGGGTTAATCGTCCCGTTGTACTTAGAATCTCGGGAAATGCGGAAATTTTTAGGGATCGGTTTCGGGGCCGCACTCGGAGGGAAAGGTTTTTGCACGAACTTCTTGGAATCCAAGCCATTCAGTACGGCGGTGCTCCCGGGATTTGGTCGACCTGGAATTGTAGGTTTCAACCTTCTTGTCATTTTCCTCGATTTTCTTTCTCACTGATTGTATCCGTTTTGTCAGCTCCTCGAGTATTCTTATGATCTCGGGGTTAATCCCTAACTCATCTCCATTCGATCTCTCTACGACCGGTTCTTCTCTGCGCGTGATTTCCCGGGACGGATCGGGTTTAATTCTGCTCGGTGTGAGGCTTTGGTTTTGTAACTGAGCTATCACCGCCGGTTGAGCTTGTAACATTTCGAAGATCATCCATAAATTGATCTTGTTCCCCCATTGTTTTGAGTATTCCGCGCCATTGATCGGGCTCCACCACGGATGCTATTTCGGGATCGGTAGGCAGGTTCATGTCGATAGCCACGTGCGAGTTAGTGTCTAACGGGTCCGCGACCAAAATTCTGATGGGATCAGTGGGTGGTACCTCGTTACCGGGCGCTATGTTGTTATTTTCGTTGTAGTAACCGGACTCATTGTCAGCAGGTAGGGGTGCCAATTGTGAGTTTGACATTTTGAGCTTTAACCTGAAATTAGAGACACTTCAAAGAACAAGTGTAAAATAATGTGTGTTATGGAATTTTGTATCAAATAACCACTATTATCATTAGCCCCATGATGGACGCCAAACTGTTTACCCTCAAAATCGGATAACAATTAAATTTGTAAGTGGTTTTAAGGATAAGTGGATTAATTTGACACAAATCGATGAATTGAATTGTAATTAAAGCGAACAATGATAAAATAAATTTAAGTCGTGCGACTTGAACAGTTATAGCCTTGAAAAAATGAGTCTCACTTGAACTGGATGCAATTCAAACGATATCAGATACAGAAGGACAGTAGCTTACAGAAAGAAAATAATATTATATTGCTTTGGGATGCGTGTAACAATGTGTTTTACAAATAATCAGATCCCCTTTATATAGTAGGGGAGTCTCACTCTAGGTTCAATTCTATAAAAGGTAAAAAAATCCCATGAATCTTAATTAGCTGGTGTCTCATTGATACGTGTCGAGATTCCCGCCGTGATACCCGACCGATTACAGATATTTCGCCTTCCGTTATTCGGTCTGGCAATGTTTTCTCGAGCTCATTCGGGGTCAGGGTTGATTCCGAGTCACGGACTCGATGTTCTCGAGGATGGGCACTCTGATCTCGTATCTTGGTTCGATGGAACCCGGGGCCGATCTTCAACCCATCGCGTTTCAATCCTGATCTATCGTGTAATAGACGAGCCCGATTTCGACCGTATACAGTATAAAAATTCCTTCAAGAAGTTATGCAGGGACATTACATCACCCACTCTGCATAGAAAAGGCATACATGCATTCTAGCCCGTTTTAGTGGAAAGGCGCACTATCTGTTTACATCCATTAAATAGTTTGCAAGGGATTCAATTCTAATTTTGATGAAGATAAAATGGTTGTTCATATACCTTTATCTTTGGAGGCTCAAGTAGAGGCCTGTTTAGTTATGTTTTCTCATATGAATCTTTTGTCTCCGCCCGGGAATCTCATTTCTGTACCAAAGCAAGATATGCTTATTGAACTCTATGTATTAACGAGCGAAAATCATCTAAAGTATTTGTGTAATTAAACAAAATCCATATAATCGCAGAAACTAACAAAACCATAAGAATTATGTGAAAGCTAAAACTAGCTCCCAAACTAGATTAAGGTTCCTTGTCGGTAAGGCGATCTCAAACGCAGGTGGTTACAACATTAGAAAGTATTCTTCCAGACCTAAAATAAATAAATATATAATTTATGCTATGTCTAACCGTTTAAATTTTTTAAAATGAAACAGTTGAAACAATGCAACACTATATATAAGTGGGCTAAGTCTTTATTGTGTTTTCAAGTGCATGGTCCAAGAACAGATTAAACTTTTTAATTGAAAAAAAAAAAAGCAACCCGGTGCACTAAGCTTTAACTATGCACGTGATTGGGGGAAGGGCCGGACCACAAGGGTCTATTATACGCAACAGTTGTTACCACCGCTCTTACAATTAAAGAGAAGAAGGTGGAGACAGTAGCAAATGTTGTGGCTAGTCTTGTGGCTTCTTGCTCATAAAATCAATTCAATTAGTTAATATTAGTTACAATTGTAAGGGTCTCCAAAAAATTCATAAGCAATATGTCCCCAAAAATCATAAGCAATATTGAATGAGATTAGGGACGAGAGGAAGAAGTAACTGAGAAAAAATGATTATGTCGTAGCAAAATAATTTAAATAAGCCAGCAAAAGTCCTGATTGGTAATCTACTTTCCTCCTTCCTACCTTTTTGAAAATAGGCTGGCACAGTTCATCACCTTTAGAGAAAGCTCATGAAAGAAAGAAATCTTGTAATCATGTTTTGGGAGGAAATATTGGAACTATATGGAGAAAAGACAGCATCCCGATTACGGTCAAGGCCTCAAAAGTTAAAGCTAAAGATCATCTTTTGCATTATTGGCAACATATTGAGCTGTTTTTGTACTTGATAGGACCGCAAACAGAATAAACTCTAATTATCAATTGAACCTTTTTAAGTAGTCAACCATTGCACACAATTTCAACTCATCATTAATTTTACTAAAGTATCTCTCCGTTGATTCATCCATTCAGAGCTAAAAGTTGGCAAATTGTGCTTTTTTGGAACTATTTTCTACTCCCACCAAGACTATCATCAACTTGCATTTAGAAACAAAAAAAGATACATTAAATTAGATTCATTTCCTCCTACTTCCAGAAATTTGGATAATGTGAACAATTAAGCATCTGTCCATGCGGCAAAGATTGGGACGTTAGGCCTCAACTGGGCTGATGAGATCCAAGAGGTAATATTAGTTGCTGGACTAGTGATTAGGTTTGGTGCTGACTGAGGCATCGCAAAATGCATCGAATGGCTATTGTTTTTAGCAGGGCTGCCTTCTCGAGAGCTGTCCAGGCTAGTTACTAGAGAAGAAGCATTTGACAAGTGAGTATTGATTCGCGCAGATTCATCCACCTCTCGTAGTGTAGAGCTCATTGTATTTGTATCAACTCCAGCAGAGGAAGACTGATGAAGTGTCATTGTCCAATCTACTACATTTCCACTTACCTCTTTATTCTGAATGTGGTTTTGATTTGCAAGGATTTGATTAGAGATTACTTTGCTTGTTTCTGTGTCTTTTTTCCTCCTAGCCAATTCCCCAGCAAGAAGGGTGTTACTTTCCATTATACGCTCCACGTCATACCTTGATATGTCAAAGTTTGTCACAGCATTTACACCTCGAAATTTAATTGCAGCAATGTCATAGGCCTCTGCAGCTTCTTCTTGGGTACCTATCCGCAAAATTGATCCAAGAGTTTAATAACTTCTATAATCTGATAGTGTAAAAAGACTATCATACCACCTAAATGACACTTAACCGTTAGTGAGATTGGTAACTTGAAATATACAAGGCAGATAACATTTTACAATAGTTTAAAGTACATGATAGCATAAAGAAATTTATGGTGTCATCGTATACTCACATGTTTCAAATTAGACTGACACATTTTGCTTATCGAGAATCAATTTGACTAAACTTTGAAGCTAAATTAGATTAGTTCACCTCAGTATTTTAAAATTAAAATTTGAATATTCAAAAACTATACAAAAAGTACTATAAGTTGCAATTTTTCTCATATTAATATGATAAAAAAAAAATAATTTAAAATATTGGTCTAACTTCACAAAGTTTGACTCTTGATAAGCTAAATGTTATCTAAATGAGATTGAATGAGAGACAGCTCTGCTGAAAAGTCAGCCAAAGTATATGCAGGAGCAGTTCTCATACAGGGAAAGTGTATAACAAGACAAAGATAAGAGAGGAAAAACAGCAGAAAGAGAGCGAACCATATTTAGACTTTAGATTAGGCAGTAAAAAGTGAAAGATTCCCATTAAAAAAGACAGCCTTATGAGTAAAATCCAGCCTTGCTGACATAAAGTTCTCTACAAGCTCTTGTTGGCTCGTGATCAGCCTTACCACCAACTTTAAGACTTGCCATTTTTTACTAACGGATAAATATAAAAGAAACTTTGCCTTTAGAATACAGAGCACTCCTTATTAAGAGGTTAAGTTGAATCTATGTGCACATTTTACTGGGTATGTTGTTGTTGTATCTTAGATGAGAAAAGGAATCAAGAGCAAGTTAATGGTTAAATTTACTTACTAAATGTCCCCAGATAAAGGTCCTTGTTCCCAGCCACGCGGCCGATACGAGCTTGCCATCTTCCATGCTGATGGTGTCTGCTAAAACGAAAACGAAAAAGGGCGATTTTCAATTTCAGTAACAACCGAACTTCATTTTCAATACTAAACTTATCTACTTTAATTGTAGTGAGTATCAAACCTTGTCACCCCTCTATACATTGAAGCTCCTCTTGAAAAACCACTACTCTTTCTGCAAAAATTTGGACAAATCAAATGAATACAGATTAAGTATAGGAAAAGATAAAAATGGATTTTGACTCATAAATGAAGCAGCAACAATACCTACCTTCTTAAGTTAGCTACATATTCTTGTCGTGTCATGTTTTTCATTTCTTCAAGCTCTTGTTGATAATTTTCCAACTGCGTTAGAGGTTTTAAAAACTTAAATGGCAGCATAAACGAACATAATACGGTTGATAAAAATAATCTTTATATACTAGTGCATACCGGGAAATTTATGTGTGTGGAGGGTCCCCAGTACTTCAGTGCTGCCAAATCATATGATCTTGCAGCTTTTTCTTCCATGTCATACCCACCTAATTTTTTTATATTTATGATCATTTGGTCAACAAAAAGATTGACATATACACTCATGGCTCAATCATTTCACAGAATATATAATGTATACAGAAATATAAATCAAGATTTACCTAGATAGACTGAAAAACTCGACATGCATCCCCAGCAATAATCATGAAGAAGGTCAAAAAAGGAGCATTTTTGTATTAGTACAGAGAAATAACTCTTCAGACGCTGTAAAAGGCAAATCTAATAAAATATTGTGTTTGAAACTAACCTTGCCTTCCTTTCCTGCTCTGCCCTTCTTTCTTACAACTGTTGTCCCATAGATGAGCTTCGTATCTACCAGTCCATCTATGCCTAATTCAAAGGAAATATAACAAATAAAATCATGGTGTCTACTTTTTTAATAGAAAAAACTTGTAAGCAGTTAAGTACTACAGAATAAAGGTCATCAAAAGGTTAAGGAGAAGATCTAACCTAGTGACACCTCGATACTGTGAGGTTCTTTGGCCAAAAGTATCAATGGATTTCCTATGAACAATTTGCTTTTGATTTTCCACCTTCTCAGGCCCTCTTTTCTTTGTTTCCATAGCAATACAATCCGCGACAGTTGGCGAGATTTGTTGTGTTCCAGTGACACAGCTGGATTGAGAGCCAGGGCTCATTGATAAGCTAAGTGACTTAAAATCTCCATATGTCATCGCACCACTTGATCCAGATTCACCACTATTATCAGCCATGCATCCTATCATATTCTGCTCCAATGCATGTGCATGTGCATTTGGATTCTGATAGTTTCTTGACACCCAGTTATTCATTCCAGACATTTCATCAACTGGCATTGTTGGAACCTGAGGATTGCACTCTGTTTTCCCCTGCTCAGTAGAGTGATATAGTTCATGCCCTCGAAGTGCTAAGAAATCGGGGTAGTAGTGTTGTTGTTGCAGCTGCCTAGAGTTGTCTTGAAAATGGTTCAAGAAATCTTGGCTATTGGAGGTTTCATTTTGTTGGTGTTGGTTGTAGTAAATGTTGTTGTCTAAGCTGTGAGCCATACCTCCTCTGTTACAATCTTCATAGTGATTGGTCCCTATTGATGCATCACCAAAGAAGTCCTCCAGTTTTGGTGTTGAACTTACCATACCTTCAAAATAAAAGGATATTCCATAAAAAAGTAAGAATCCCAAAGTACAAAACACATTTAAAAGCAGGACAAGTTTTGAGCTGAAAATAACCTTGTGGTTGTTGTGACCTGTTGAATGCTTTCATAATACATAATGAACCATCAGACTTGAGAGGCATCACAGAATATGAAGAGAAAAAGGCTGCATTGTCACCTTCAGTATTATAGAACATGCCTGGATAGGTGAGAGGGGCTGGAGAAAATCTAATGGGGACTGAACTTGGAACATCACTAGAGCAAGGTTGAGAGTGATGTTGATCAGGAGGAGGACCCTCTAAGCTGTTTATGTGAGGGGAAAGTGAAAAACCAAGCCAGTGGCTGTTGCTGTTAGTGTTGCTGCTATTGTCATCATTACTCAAAGACTTCATCTTTGTTGCTATGGAATTGAAATATCCTGACACTTAGAAAAAAGATTCAGAGCGAGTTTCTCTTAGAGCAAGGCAAGTCAATCATTGGGAGACAAATAAACTAATCATACTCCACCCTTTCTTTTGTTCCCTCCATTTGAGACTCATTTTCTACTTTTGTTTTCTAGCTGCAGACTCACTACGCAGAACAAAATCTAACCATAGACCTAAAAACAAAGTCTTAGACACAACTTAATGGTTGGGCTTTGTGTGTGTGTGAGTATATATATATATACATATATATCACACTGAAAAGATTACCAAGGAGAACAAAGGGAGTCCCTTTAAACTAGTAAACAAAAAGAATGAGTTCCAGCAAGCAATGCCGGGCATCGTTCCTGCATTCCATTGGGATCTGTGTTTGAGAAAGACATCTTCTTTTGCTTTTCTTATGCTCCACCCCCTGCTTCCTTCTTTGCTTTTGCTTTTCTCCCTTTTGCTTTGTGTACGACTATACATTTACTGCATAAGGAGACTGTTGATTCGAATCCATCCTTGTGGATTAATTCTTCTACTGTGGATAATGGCTAAAGTCTCTTCTTGCTAGACAAAACTTACCTTTGCCACTTATAAGAAAGAAAAGAAGGGCAGGCGTTGCTGAAGAAAACTGTACAAGTACCAGCACACTGGTTAATTTAATTGATCTAAAAAGAAAAGTCAAATTCCATCATCTATCTGTTGGAATTTAATGAGTAACAAGAGAAATCAATGGTCATTTTAGTAAATGTGGCAGAGGAAACAAGTGGAGTGAGAGCGGCCAAAAAGCTAGAAATATTAATAAGACATGATACAACAATCAATTAGCTGTGCCTATATTGCTTTTTACAGTCTTCCAACTGCATCAGGGAAGCTAAGCCTTAGATCTTCACAAGAGGCAGAATTCAGAAACATCTGATCACTTCACAGACATCAGAATAGTACTAATATAGCGCACTAGGCATCTATCTATGCCTTAACATTTTACCCAGTCCGCTAGTGATAAGGTCTACTCTGGGTCTAGACCCTCACGGGTTTAAAACGTGTTACTAAGGTCTAACGCTTGTTAACTTATATAGCCACCATCCCTCTTATGTTTTGCTGATGTGACACTCTGTCTAAAGTCTGGAGTGTTGCATACACCCCCTCTTATGGACTCAGCATCCTCGCTGAGGTTTTCCCCACCACATGGGATTCGCCTAGACTCAGCATTAGGGTTTGCTCCGCCTAACGAGATTTGCCTAAACTCAGTTGAACTCTGACCCACCATCGGCAAGGCTGACGTAATAGTGACTCTAATACCATCTGTAACAGTCCAGTCCACTAGTGAGATTGCCTGCTCTAGGCCTAGCCCTCACGGGTTTAAAACACATTACTAAGGTCTAATGCTTGTTAACTTATATACCAAGCATCTCTCTTGTGTTTTGCCGATGTGATACTCTGTCTAAAGTTTGGGGTGTTACCGCGCCTAGTCACATTGTGAGCTTGCATATAGCAGGGGGAAAAAAATCCTCTATTTACAAGTGCTGAAATTTATTAGTATTGCAAAATATTGAAGAACTTGTTTGAAATTTATTCCAAGTGAAATCACTTATAAGTCTTCAGCTTCTTTTATTTCCAAATCAAATTTTTGTCCTTATACGATATCAATTTTCAAATACTCGATTTCTACTTCTACTTCAAATACATAATTTTGAATTTTAGTTAAAACTGGCCAAACTTCTACAAAATAGTAGTACCCTACCCGGCATTAGTAAATTGCAAATTGTGACCATTCTGCGTGTCCTTATTAAGTTTCTTTGTTACGTAAGGCATTGACCAGATAAATTCATTTTTCATAAGAAAAAAAATATTTTGCCTTTCTATTAGAGAATTCAAATTGGGGCTATACGTTACATTCCTGATAAGTAGATAATATAGAAGTGGATTTGTCATCGCACCAAGGTTAAGTACCAAGTTCGAGCTGGCTTAACTATTCCAAATTATTCAATATACTGCATGCAATTTTGTATGTAATATTCCACGGAGACAGATTTTCTAGTGAGAATGATTTGGCCGATACACTAGTAAAAGAAGAATGTGGGAGAGCTGACCCTTTTGATTGAAGTAATGATGAGTAACTCCACCTAACACAACGGGCCACTAGCAATTTGCCTAAAGTGCATGGCCTAACAAAAGAAAAGTGTTTCTTTGCTATGCCCCAGCAAAGATAGCTTTCTTTCATTTTCATCTCCATTTCGCTGTTGAAACAGATGGGTAATGGAATGGGGATAGGAGCCTCTATTATTAGCTCTGTCTTCTTTGAATTGGCCCTGTCAAGTAACCCTTTTCTGGGTAATGTGGTTTACCCGTATATATCCTTTATTACTCTAAGACCATTTATGCTCTCCACAATTGAGACAACAGTGTATTCGTATTATTACTACTTGTGGCTGTTCTAATATTACAAATGACAAATTATGGTTTAGTTTGGTCTTAAAATGAAAGGGTTTAAGAATTAAACTACTCCAATATATTAGTGGCATGGCGTTGGAGATTTCAGGGTGAGACAGCCTAGAAGGCCACATTGTAATTAATTGGATTTGAATATAACTAGATGTAGTTACATAGTTTGACTAGTGTGTGCAATCGAGGGAGTAATTACACTTTCTAATTTTGAAGTGGAAGGGAGCAATTATATTTGTCACACGCTAAGACTTATTTATATGTTCATAAGAAATTAATGCACATTAATCCGGCACATGGATAACAACCACATATTACCTCCCAAATCCTTTCATAACAAGGAAATATAGGGAAGAAATAAAGTTATCAACTATTTCATTAAACCTTAAAGACCTTGCGATTCAACTTGAATCTAGTCGAAAAGAACAGATCTCTTGCCCAAAGAGGGGACCATGAAAGCAAAGAAAAAAGTCCAGTCATATGACCAAATTCAATCACCTTTGGTGGTTTTGGACTCAGGATCTTTGATGCTACATGTCTTGCAAAAACTGATGCATCAGTCGCTTTACCCCCTTGAGAAGCCTTTGCACGCTCAATTATGGCTTCTTTAAAATCCTTGTAAAGTTTCCACTCATAGTTTTGCAATCTTTCCACACTATTGTTCCCAAAACTTGATCTTATAGCCCCCGGGACCACGATAATTATATTTATATTAAACGGGCTTAACTCAACCCTTAAAGTGTGCGACATAGAAAAAACTGCAGCCTTGCTAGCACAATATGATCCCGCCCAAGGTGTTGGCACTTTCCCAACAACACTCCCTACGTTCACTATACTTCCACTTTGTCGCAATGCCATGTGAGGGACTACTTGTTGAATCAACCTTAGTTGCCCCAACGTGTTAATTTCATAAGTTTTTCTGATTGCGTCCAAAGGAAGCTCGGCTAGAGGGCCTGTGCTGCCTATTCCTGCATTGTTGATCAAGATATCTATTTTCCCACATTTGGTTATAATTGAATTCACAGCCGATGCTACGCTTTCATCTGATGCAACATCAAGCTCAAGTGTCTCAATTTTATCTGCTCGTAGGTCTAACATATCAGATATTCGTGGGGCTATATCTGATGCAAAAACATGGCAGTTTTGCTCCGCAAAAGCCTTGCAATATTCATAGCCAATGCCACCCTTGGCGCAGCCAGTGACTAGAACAACCTTTTGGTCACCCATAATTTTCGTCGGTTTAATTCATTTTCTCTAGCAAACTTTTATAAGATGTACTGAACAAAAATCATTCCAATTAGTTTTCTCCGCCAATACATTTCTTAGTATTTAAAAATCTTGGGATGACCTAGCCTTAAAGAATATGCTGTGGCATATGCATCAAGATTTAAAGAACGGCCGGCCTTGCAGTAGATTACTTGATTAAGAGTGTTTTCAAATTCATGGAAGATATCAATATAATTGGCAAAAACGTAATGCGCATGTTTTTTTGGTTACAAACTCATCACAATGCCAACTGAGTTTGTAGACAATAAGAACGATATAAGGTTAGTACAAAATAATTGAAATTGATATTCAATGTGAATAACGTGCATTTTCATAGAAGGACGGAAAAACCAGGACTACAAGTTTTGGATTCTTTCAAAAACAAAACAAAAAAATATTGTAGAAAAAGAATATAATCGAAGAGGAAAAGTTACTAAAAATGGAAAAAAATATAGTCCCATCTAAAACTTTTCAAAGTCGAGTTAAATTCATATCCATGCAAAGAAAAGAAAGATAACGTTATTGTCGAGAGTAATAAAAGGCTGAGGTTGAGGCTGAAATAACCTTGTGAGTGGATGCTACTTACTTGTACCAAATATTAACATCAAATTAATATATTTATGACATATGTTTTTATAAATATGATTATCACTAAACAATAGTTAATTATTATATATTTTCAACTTAAGTTTTCACTTACCATAATAAAAAGTAGAATTTAATGATAACATTGTATACAGGTAATTTTTTTCCGGGAGAGGGATGGTGTTTGTTTTGAATACGATAAAAAAGCCAAGGTACAACCGAAGGGGGTAGCGGGGGCAATATTAAAGATTGGTCCAGTGAATTCAGGGGGGTACAGAAAATCCAAACAAAATCTAAATAAGGTCACAGCAATGGCTAAACAGGAGTCAACAGAAAAAGTTAAAGCATATGGCAAACCTAACTGAGAACGACCATATAACGCTGCCGTGCCCTGCCCCTATCCTTGATATCAAAAGCTATTTCACCTACTTTCCCTTTTTAGGGAGTGAGACTTATCATCCTTCTTCCTCATTAAATTTCACTTCTCATCTAAGGAGTCCGGAATTTAAATGTGGTTCTTTTCGACTCCAAATACTTTTTTAAATATAACAAAAAAGTTACATTACTATATATGGACCGCATTTTACCTTAACGGCTGTTTGGACCGTTAAGGTAAAACGCGATTCATTATCGCGTTTTAAATAGAACGCGGTAAAAAACCGCGATTTAGTGGAAGCTGGCGGTAATAAACCGCGTTTTATATATATAAATAACAGATCCCCTTCCCTTTCCCCCACGTTTTGCCCACTTCCGCCTTCTCTTAAAAAATTAACNCCAACCTTGGACAGTAGGAAAATGTATTGTCAAGAAACTTATGAATGTAGACAAAACATATGAAGCAAACTTCCCAAATTCTTGTCAAGTGCTTGTCAAAAGAAGTACTTTTTTTTAGAGATGAAACAAATAGTGTCCAAAAACTGACATTATTACAGTTTCCCATAATCAAAAAAAATGTGAAAAGTTCATCTAACATTCCAGACAGTGTCCAAAATCTGATGAATATCATAAAACAATGTTGTAAGGATTAAAACAGGTGCAAAATGAATCTAACGCTTATAACTACTTAACATCTAGTCAGTAGATGATAATACTTTGGCACTTAGAACTAAATTTTCAATTAAGATCAAATAATATAAACAAAACATTCAGTTTATAAGGGAAAAAATACTCTTATTAATAATCAAACTGAATAATTTTCTGATATCTTTATCCCTACAAACATTCCAGCTAACAACACAGATGATGTAACACTTGCTCCATTGTCACCTTCAACCCCTACACCACTTTCATCTACAAACGAACTTGAAGATGGTTCTTCAATGCCAACATTTTCTTCTTGGAATTCATTGAATGTGCTATGGCTTCATCATAAGATTTGTAAGACTCGAAGATGCTACCTTTAAAACCTATAACCATAAGAGCACACTCACAACAAGAGTTGTATAATCCAGGCCTTTTACCACGAAATACCACATAAACATTCGATGCCGATATATTATCAACTTGAGATCCGTTTCTAAACTCATTGAACGTTGTTATAGCTTCATCATACGATTTGAATGCCTTGAAGATGCTACCCTTGAAACCAGTAACCATAGGAGCACACTGA